TTATTGGATAAGTTAGAAATATTGATTCTTCAACCAATTCATCGTGTTATCGAATTGAGAAATAGAGGTCAAGAGTGAGCTTGATTGGTGATTCGGGATTCTAGTGAGCTTTAGATTCATTAATTTTATCAAACTTTTGCATTCAACATAATTTTGTATTCATTTAGTCTCATTAACTTAAATTACATTTTAGTCATAGTTTAGTCATAAAGTCCAAATAACCAACCATCTTGAGTGTAATATATTCGATTAAGGTCTTAATAATAGAAATCAAATTAAATCAATCATCGTTGGACGATACTCGAAATTTTACAATTTTCACTTTATTACTTGTTAACGAACCATGCACTTGCGGTGATTTACAAAACGAACATATTTTTGTGAAAGTTACTTATTCATCACAATGGCATATGAAAGGACCTCATCTATGCACATACAAAGAGAGGTACTTACCTTGTCGAACAATGTTTGAAGAACGCCACCGGAGTCCGATTCAGATGTGAAGCTCTTAAAATTTTGCAATTCTTGAAGCTTGAGTTCTTTTAGTTTTGGGAAGGCAAGCATGTCAGCCACCGAACTCTCGTTTTCTCTTCCAATAATACTTTCCAATACTTCACAATTGTAGACCCGTAGATATTCTAGTGCCACAAGTGAGTTGACCAAAGAATGTGGGAATAAGTACTTTAAAGAGCAACATGCTGAAACTTGAAGCGATGTCAAATTTTGGAAGACACGAATTCCTTTGGAAACCATCCTCGTAATTTGCACTAGTTTAGGTAGTGTAGATATCTCCAATGAATTTAATCGACCAAGTATACTAATTTCTGCATCATCTTCATTCACCTTTACATCCACAAAGTCAAACAATACTTCTACTTCTTGACAATTCTCTACATAAAATCTTTCGAGATTTTGCAGTAGTTTAATCGAATCAGAATGTGCAATGGTCACCAAATTACCACAATGCATCACAGACAGGTCTCTTAGTTTAATCCAATTAGATGTGATTGGCATTTCCTCGTCTCCCAGTAGCTTTACAATACAATCCAATTGACGAACATCCAACATCTCAATGTTAGGCAACGTAACCTGTGAAAATTTTACTTAACTGTGTTAGCCAAACTTTTCACCATAAAACTACAGAATGGTGTATAAATGTATGGCTTCAAATTTACCAGAATGCTCACAAATTAAATATAACATCATAAACAATTAATGAAATCATTAAAGCCAAGAATTATGAAAACCAATTGTTGACAAAAAGTTGCCTTAAAATATGATTATATGAAGTATAAAACTACAAAATGCAATTGCTTCCAAACTAGGTAAGTAAAAGAAAAGAAAAAAGAAGTAAATCAAACCACATAATTATTTTATTTTAAACTCGACTGCTCAGATTAGATTACCCAAACACACCAAACGGTTTATCAGTTTTCTTATTCTTCAAACTTGAAACTAAGTGACTAAACCTCCTTTAAAACGAATATGGTCTCACACACGAACACAAAAGGAAAGATATATACCTGGTTGAATAATGTTTGACGAACAGCAACGTTATTTGATTGAGATGTGAAGCTTTTAAATTTACTCAGAAATTGAAGTGTGACTTTTTCAAGTTTTGGGAACCCAAGCATTTTAGTAACTTCATTTTCTTGTGTTTCCTTTGAGACAACTTCCTCTAACATCGGACAATAATGTATATATAGACTTCGGAGATTCACCATGCTCTTTGCAACTGATTCTGAAAACATGCTTCTAATTTCATCACAGTTTAATATCTCAAGAACCTTAAGGCTACCAAATAATGGAGTTATGGGGACACCCATCCCAAAAGGTTCCATTCCTGGAAGATTTGCATTGCATATCTTTCTCATATTTTGTAAACCCCTCAATTCTAGAAGCTCCAAATGTCTGAAGGTTCCTCTTGGAATGGAGTATGTACCATCAATAATATACTCAAAATCACAACTTGATAGCCTCAGCTTCTTCAAGTTAATGAAACCATCTTCATCCAACTCACTCACAACATTCTTCCACACTGCCGCTTTTACAATATAAAGATGGTCGGTTGTCTTCATTAATGAACTAATCCCAGGTTGCGAAAGCAGACTTGCGTCAATTCCATCTAGGAGATCCAACCTCCTTCTGACATGATAATCTCCAGCAGCGAGTCTCTTTTCCTTGGTTAAGGTGATTTCATATCTTTTCAGGTTTTCAAGGCACAACCCTTGTAATATTTGTATAAGAAACTGAGTATCATCCGTTGAAATTTGGAAAGTGTTAAGATCAGTCAATGAAATTATCTCTTCAATAATGTACCTATGTTCTTCATCTCCTGCTTTAAAGTAATTTCCCAAGTACAGCTCTTCCAGTTTCTTCATTCCCAATAAAACATGAGGTGGAAGTAGATGAGGGCCTTCCTGGAACCTCAAATCCAGTGACCTTAGGTTTCTTAGTTCAGCCATTTCACTAGGAAAATAAACATAGAGACAAGAATGATAAAAGGTGAGAATTTCCAATTTCTTTAGACTCCCAATTATTGATATATCACACATTAAATCACAGTAGTCCAAGCACAAAGTTTGAAGACCCATCAACAAATTGATTGAAGATGGGAGTTGAATGTTCATCCAACTGAAATCAAGAACTCTGAGTTCCTGGATGTAGTCAAAAAAATCTTTGCATATGTTCTGTTCTCCCGAATTGCAACGCACCCGTAACAACTCGAGGTTCCCATATTTAAATCCACAGGGAAGCTCGTCCAGCTCACCAAATGTTAGTGAGATGGCACTGTATGAATCCTTGTTATCATTTTTTGGCCACTGTTTCAAATCGACATGTTTCACCAGATATCCAGATTTGTCTTTAGATGCTATCGATAAGCAAAAATCTCTAACGACATCATGCACTTTCACCTCTTCCTCCCCTTCACTGGATGATAGTAAATAACAAAGTTTCAGATCATCCACAATCGAATTTACTCTGTCTCTGGTTTGGGACAGTGTCTCAGTATTTTGAAACAGTTCCAGCCCCCTTGCATATCTAACCAAACGTTCAATTGAAATACTTTGATCTTCAGCAAATAGAGAGCATAGCAAAAGCAAGGACCTGGCTTCATCACTTTCCAAATAGTTGTAGCTCAACTCTATTCTTGAGTAAACCAAATCGTGCATTCCTCTGAGATTGGTCACACTAGAACTTTGTAGTTGTTGAAGTGCATCTCTCCATTTATGTGGCATTTTATTTTTCAGTGCTTTGCCAACAGTCACTAGAGCTAGAGGTAAGCCTCCACATTCCTTTGCAATTTCAGCTGCTATGCCTTCAACTTCAGTTGTATAATCAGAAATGTCTGCAGCATGCTTGAAAAGTTGCCATCCTTCTTCTTTAGGCAAAACTTTTACTTCGTATTTCCTTTGGGTTCCCATGTCTCTGCATACATCTTCATTTCGTGTTGTAAATAGAATTGTCAATCCCTTGCAATCATGCGCTAATGGAATTCCTATTTTTCCCAAATCAATTTCTTTCCAGACATCGTCCAATATTAAGAGAACTCTCTTATTCTCATGTGTAAGTCTTCTATAAAGTCGTTGAGCTCTCCCACTTTCTGTCTTTTCTTCAATTCTCAAATCAAGTTTTTCAGCAAGTTGATCTTGAACTTTTATTATGTCTGCTTCCTGAAATACAACTGCCATTGCAACCTCATCAAATAATTTCTCATCTTTGACTTGAGTGGCTATTTCATTCACCATCGTTGTCTTACCTACTCCAGGCATGCCACAGATGCCAATTATGCTGATATCTTTGTCCTTAAGAGCATCCAATATTTCCTTCTTAGTAGATATCCTTGTTTCAAAACCCTGAAAGTCACGATGGGGTGTTTGGTTTGGCATCGGCACCGACGGTGTAGGATAGCCCACCCTCTCAAATAAACCTTCCACTTGGAGCTTAACAATCACAGCAGTCTTCTTCGTGGCATTCCTGCCCAGTAAGTAACAAGTCTTCAATTTCGAAGTTTTAAGGGATAGAGACTCCATTCCAGGAATTTCTGCAACCTTCAATACTTCTTCTACTTGTTCCATTAAATCATCGACCTTCTGAAGCCATGCCAAAACACGTGGTTTAATAACTTCGGCATTTCTTGTGGCTGTGTCAACCATTGCTTGCACCTCAATTCTCATATTATTAAGATCTTGCACTCCATCCCTCAACTTCTGAATTTTATTTTTGTAGAAGATCAAATACTTGATTCGGCGCCAAATTGGATCAAGTGCATATTCTGTGAGCTTCCCAGCAACCGAAGAGCCTATCTGCTCGGCCATTATCAATTTTTTTCTATTGTTTCCCTCTTCTTTTGTTTTTCGCAAGATAAATATTTTTCTCCAATGAGTCTAATACAGCACTTGCAGCTCCCCTTAGAAAGTACTAGCAGAACCAGAAAAGTTCATCTGCGGCTCAATGAAAAAGTTACTGGGCGTTTATTAAATAATTAAAATTATTAACTAGACTATATCACAAATATTTGATACTTTTCTCCTTATATTTTGTCTCCAATTCATATAGTGGTGCACACAAACACTAAAGGGTTACTTTCAGTAATCAACAGCAAACCAAGAAAAAGCAAGAAACAATTATTGCAGGTAAATAATCACTAGTTTGATTATTTTATGTGAAAAAGTTTCTTGTTCATCAAGAATTCACGATAATGCTTTCCATCTCTGATTAGTATTTCATTCTCACCCAGTGGGTGAAGAAACTATATTAAGATGAAATGAAATACCCTTGAATAGTTGAGAAAATTGCACTCTTTAACATAAACAGAGAAAAATATATTTCAGTTAAATAGTCCAAGAATCATTTAGATGCTAACTTTTATGTGCAAATATCTGGTTTATAATGGAATCACTAGAAAAAAATAAGACCAAAATCAGACATACCTATGTAGGATCTGGTCCTTGTGGACGACTGAGAAAAAGAGAGAAGATGAAGTTGCAGTGGCTAGAACCTCAATATTTTGGGGATCAACAGATGAAGTCAATGTCATTCTTGCTGGAACTCGTTATTTAAAAATAAACATGATGTGACCCACTTAGACCATTTTTCACTAATAATTCTATGAATTAATCTACTTGTACAATGATGGTTGACAAAGTTTGTTGACAATGTTAGATGTGACAAAATCTGGACAATTGATTTAAAAACAGTTTTTGAAATTTTTTGAAATGTGTGAATGTGATGGTGCCAAGTTATAATTGTCAACAAACATTGTGAACTATCATTGTACATGTAGCATGATTGATAAGTATAAGTGGATGGATCACAGCATAACGCTGTAAGAAATTTTCTATTTTAACTTTCTAATATAGAGGGATGGTGGGTTTGACTATTTTTACTTTACATGAATTAAGCTCTTGTTTGAGTTACATCTTTCCAAAATTCATTTTTAATCACGTTATTTAAAAAATCATTATTGTAAAGTACAATTTTCTTTGAAAATGAGACTTAAAAAAGGGGCTTAATAAGTCATATTTTCATACATTACTTCTCTGATTTTTTAAACTATATATTTAACTTTATTGATAATTGGCATCCAAGAAAATGTTAAATAAAAAATGGTGGAAAATAATAATTTTTTATTGAAAAAACAAAATAAAAAGTAAAGTTGAAGGGCGGAAAAAATTTAATAAATAGAGCGTGTCTTGAAAATGGAGGTGACCAAAAATCGCATAAATAAATAAATAAAATCTAGACCTGGCAATGCACCTCATTTCCTTTTTAATTACAAATTCTAGTTGTTATGAATTTCCAGAGTTTATTGTTATTAGTTGCGGCCGTTCGATTTCGTTTGTGCACTGCTTGAAATTTTAACAATTCACAGCTTGAAATTCCAAAATTAACAGTTGATGCATTTGAAAGAATTATCCACGTCTAAATATACCTTAGGAAAAGGGCATACATGGTTTACACAATCCCAGATTTCTACACATTTTAGTAAACTTACAAATACTTGTAAAAGTTTTTACTGCCTTCACTTGATAATTGTGACAAAGGGGAACAAAATAAAGTAGCGAAACCCTGATGAAAAAAAAATACAGAGGGCCCTGACGTTCTGGAGCACAGAAACTCCGACTGGAGCAACGATCGATGCCTGATTGCTGATTACCTCAACCTGTTAGCCAGTTCAGATTTCAAATTCTAGTCCGGGTTTCATTCTCCAATGCAAATTTACGACCCCCTCAGTGTGTCTGTGACTCGAGCAGAATGTTAGTAGCAGCATTAATATCATTTCTGGCGCGAATGAGAGCTTGTCTCGCTGAGTTTCTGTCGAAACCCATTGAAACCAGTGTGGCAATGGAGTCCTCAGGCGGATTGACTGTGGATGACAATCGAGCAGGATGGATTCCCTGGAGCCAAAGGGGGAGGAGGATTTTTTGAACCAACCAAAGCAAAGGCCTTAGAAATAAAGAAATAATTGTACTAGTAACTAAATTTAACACTACCCTCAACATATTCATGGTTAAGAAGAGAAACAGCAGTGTGTACTACTAGACGGGATTGGACAGTGTAATCAACAATTGTTCAACTTAGTTTACTATTTTAATATTGTCTATTACTATGCAACTCTCATTAAATAACGCGCTATAAAGCTATATTTGTAACCATGTACATCCATATATGAATTTGTGGCACAATTTTTTCCTGATCCCGTTTTAATAACATTGGCCAATACATACACAATTTTTCTCCTTGTGTTGATTAGGCAAGGAGGAGAAAAATGAGGGGTGATTTTGACCAAGTTGAAGTCCATCCGACTAGTTTAAAAGAAAGATAACAATGGATTTCACATTAAAATTGTTTTAAGACATTTTCTATGAAAAAAATTCTAAAAAAAAAATTCTATTTTTCACCATGCAATTGTAAAGTCATTTTGAAAAATTCTCCAAGATAATACTTGCCTCCACTTGTAGAGCTGCAGATGTTGGAGCATTTCCCACAACATTCCTACCCTGTTCTGTTGGTGATGCACTCCCCATGGAAGGCCAAGAAAGCCGTGAGAAGAATGAAGCAATGAAATTTGGAAACTGAAAATAGAAAGATGCAAGTCATGGATAGCTTTGGGAAATATCACAGATTTGGCAAAACCAACTTTAAGTAACGAGCAAAATCTTGGGAGCAGTGCATTATATGCAACTATATGAAAGACAATCAAGAAAATGAATACAAGTATAGTTTCAAACTTGTTACTTTTAAGTATTACTGAAGACTTTGCCCATGTTTAATGGCTATTATTCGGGAAAAACAATGTTTTGAATAGTGATTTTTAAGAGAATGTTTGGTTAATAAGAGCCTGTTTGTTTGCCATTTTTCACCTCATTTTTAGAAGAAATGTTACCGTTTATGGGCCCCACTTATCCCTTTTTTTTTAATCTCAACTTTTATTTTGCAACGATTATATTTCTTCTAATAATGAGCAAAAAAATAGGGCCCAAACGCTCTCTAAGTAGAGAAAAATTTGGAGTTTACGTGCAGAATATTTTATTGTGTAAATATATGATTGAAAATGAATATGTAGGAAAAAAAAAGTTTTCAAATAATAGTCATTGAAAAGGGGCTTAAAAATCATCTACATTGATAACCAGCTATACACTGCAAAAAATTCGAGATCCCAAGTAACATCCTCAGTACAAAATAACTGAAATGCATCAAGATGTATGGATTGCTTCGCTTGACTAATATCTTGTCAAAATGTTATGCAGAAGACAGAAAAATGGATGATAAAGTATTTGCTTTTAACCACGAAACGTCAAGTCAACAATGTTATAAGAGACATTAAGGAATGAAGTTTGTAAAAGGTCATGGGTCAAAAACATCATTTGTCGTCCAACTATAATGTTTTATCATTTAGTCACCGAACTTCTTTTGTTCCAAATTAGCTGCTTGAACTTTCATTTTTTTATCAGGCAGGTCATAATTTCTGTCGATGTGGAACGAAGTTTAGTGGTTAAAGTAAAAGTATGCTAAAAATTAGGTAACTACACGGTTTTTAACCAAAAAGGTTATACATTTTTCCTCCGCAATCAAACAAGCCAAGCCAAACTATTTATAAAAAATTAAAGATAAGGGATTAGGTGCAACCTTCAGCCTGCGGATATGAAAGACGTTTAAGCGGTGCAGTAAACCCGCAAGTATACCGCAGATCCCTGGTAACAAAGATCTTTTCCAGGATGACAAAAGAAGCTGCAAGATATAGAAATGAGTGGAGAAAAAAGGAGTACAGAGAAAGAAATTCGAGAATGAGAAGATGAGGATAGAACTTTGATGAAAAAGGTGATGGCCACACTTGATAGGCATTACCTGAAGGCCGGCTAAATAGGTAAAAGTCTTGTTCGAGAACTGAAATCCAAGCACACGAAATTGTGTTGAAACTGGAATGTCAAAATAGAAGGGTACAAACGATGAAAATATAAGACCATAGGGTCCTGATGTCATTATCGTCATAGAGGGATCTGTTAGAATAATAAACATAAAGGATTAGAATACAGACTGAGGCCGACATTCAAATAACATGTACAAGTGTACAACAGGTAAATTATATTTTCGATAGACTCCACACTCTGGAAATTGTGAAGGAAAGAACTATTATTCCACGCTCGAAAATAATTTGTGTACAGCCCCTTCTATAGATGAGAAATCCATCTACTAATTAGGGAATAACAGCCTATCAAATCTCCCTAAAAATAGCAACTAACCAGGAAATAATCTACCTAGGAGATCAGGTAAACATATTACCCGAGCCATTGAACTGAGGAAACAAATCAGCAAACAAATCAACTGAGGCCCTATTTGATGGCCATTATTGTGTAAAAATGATGATTCAAATAGTGATTTTATGGAGAATGTGTAGTTTAAAGGTGGGGAAAAGTTTTGGGTTTATGTACAAAATATTTTATCGTGTGAATATATGGTTGAAAATGATTGTGAAAAATAAATTATTTTGTTTTAAAGGGAGTCAAACATGGGCTGATTTGTTTGCTTGAAATTACCTACAAATACCGGAATTAATGCTGAATAAAAAAAGGTATTTCTACACACTCCATTGACAAAAATGGAGGAACAAAAGATATCAAGGATACAGTAAACTTGGGTGCAAATTATTTAGAAACATTTCCAATCTTTAATACTCCCTCAATCCCATAAAGATGGGGTTGCTGCACGCAGATTAAGAAAATGTAATTAATATAATTGAAAATATAAATTTTTACTTACAATTTTCCTAATATACCCTACATTAAATAATGGTTTAAATAAACTATACTCGAAAGTGGCCTATAATTTGGGACATACTAAAAAGGTAAGCAAATTTATCTTTATGGGATGTAGGAGGTAAATTTTTTTTGATAAGAGGGATGTAGGAGGTAAATGAATGTTACAGCTATCACTCTACAACCAAAAATAAGTTAATTCATCATATCATTATAGCAGGAGAGAGTTAGTAATCCAAACTCCGTTTCACCAAACAAGTCAGACTATTAGCAGCTAGACCACACTGACGCAGCCTGCAGGTGAGGTACATTCTCTGAAAAACCCCATCGGAATTCAACGCTAATCAACTTTGCAATAAGGGAAATAATTTGGATGTGAGAAGAAACATACTCCATCTAACTTTTAAGGCAGTTTCCGAGTCATAACAAACTTTAATTTCACAAGCATATTGGGTATGGGAATTGAACTCTCAACCACTAACAACTTATAATCAACCCTTCATTCATAACAAGCTTCTCTTAATAAATAAATAAATAAACACAGTTCATCAGGTCATTTTAGAAGGGAAAAGAGAAAAGGGGCATCACTAACCCAGAGAAGAGAGAGATAAGTATCACTAGACATACCAAAATTTCTTTTTTTGTTTCAATTCAATTTCTTTGTATAAACCTTCCAACGGATACTTAATACATCAAGAATGGTGCATACCTCTAAGGAGTTTGAGTACAAGGACTTCAAGCAGTAACGAGACAATGACAGAAAAGAAGATAAAGACCTGCATGAAAAGATACAGATATAGAAGGTCACAAACACTCTGAAAATAAAAAGGCTGCCAACAGCTTCTTTGATAACTGATTTTTCTTTTTGGCGAGGAAAAAGATTTAGACGTTAATTGTTTATTGAATATTAATAGCTATTTAGTGGGGAGACATCAATAAACCTGTAAGGAAAAATTTTTTGAAAAGAATTTATTTCAAGCATAGAAGTTCCAAATGTTATGCAACTTTTCATGTTTGAATTTGGACAGCGCCTGCACTCTCGGAGGAGCAACACATGGCAGGTTTCATTTTTCGAATATGTCTGACTTATACATTAGAAAATTGTAATTTGTGAGATGTCTGAGAGCTTATTTCTGGGGTTCAGGATGTCTCACAGAGTTTCTGCCTTTTTCGATCAGCTTCATACCATTAAAGATAACCAAAAAGAAAATATTTCTGCAGGGAAATAAAATTTTCAAGGAAATTTCTCATTTTTCTAGCTTTAGTAGGAAAATTAGTAGCCTTATTTGCCATAGATCAACAAATCAACAGCTGGCCATAAGGAACACTATTATCTACTCTTCCATATCATGCATAACATCCATGAGGAATCATTATATCATTAACATCTCATGACGTTCAATTTATCAATACCCTTTTGGTAGTTAGTGCGCGCATTACTAAGAAATATAAACATGTAAAGACCAAATAACTAATAAGTAATTTATACTTGAACAAGCACTTACAGAGTATTTGTTAGAACCTATTTGCCTCTCGAATACACGAAAGAAGTACAACAGATAAATTCCGATAACAAGTTCCGGTGTAGATGAAAAGGCAAAAACCGACACTATCAGCTTCCATATTTGTAATTTCTTGAAAATATCCTGTCATGAGTTTAAAAATATGTTTAAAATGCATTGTGACAGTAAATTCAAAGAGTAGAATAACTATTCAATATATCTAAAAAAATTGTGATTCTAATACAGCCAAAAATGAAGGTGATGGACATAGACTTAGTTTTGTCTTTCTTTTCTATAACGTTTTACATAATATTTAAATAAAAACTGCAAAAGTAGGAAAAAAAAACTGATATATGGGCCAATGCACCAGAGAAACAAGAAGGTCAAGTTTCTGTACAAGCTTCAAAAATATCTCGATTATTCATCAATTATACTCACAATCACCATTCGGAAGCAGATTTAGAAATAGCATCTTGCGGCTTATTTCAAAACATATAATCAAAAGTCAAAACCACTCACCGCCTTAAAATTGGTACACAAACACAGATGATGGGCTTTACTGCTCCATGTGTTGACTCTCTATGGTGTTCTTCATATTAACTCTAATTCTTGTCTTAATCAATAAATCTACTGTCAATATATTATGCTAAAATACCTCAAATAAAAGTAAAGAGACTAAAGACGTTAATAGTATTTATGCGTAGATCAAGATTCTACAGCAATTCACAGGAACAACTACATACTCGATGAAAAATAATGACGGCGGGAGCGACGAAGCATATTCAGATATGAAACTTCACAAAGACCAAACATACAGTAGCAGGCATTTATATTTGAAACCTAGTCATCCATGCATAGCAACATTTTACAGTTCTATGGAGCACAATTAGGAAAGAAAATATAAGCAAAAAAAAACAAAAGTTTTACACACACAACTATCAAAATACGAAAATTAATAGTCATACAAACATAATCATATATGAGCATGCAAAAAGAGAAATCTTTAGTCAACAGGAACCCAGATTCCCAAGTGAAACTACAGAACACCAAAAAACTAAAATTCAGCAAAGTCTACTTTAAATTAAATAGCAATTTAAAATAAATTAAGCATGCAACCGAGAATAACCAAAAAAAAAAACGAAATAACAATTAAACAGCAACAGCCCATAAAAAATTATAGTCATAACTATAAAATTAAACAATAAATACGAAAAGGGGCAGAAAGAAATTCAAAAAGAAAAATATTACAGATCAAAAGACCCAGCAGAAATAATACCTGATAAGACCAACCGAGCTTACTAGAGCGACCTCGGATCCCAAAGAGAACGGTGAAGAGGACACTTGCTATTACTACTGTTCTTGTCACCGGCGCATTGTCTATCAATTTCAATTTATACACAATAAAAATCAAATTTAAACGGAAAAATAAAATCAAATAAATTAACAAAATCGACATGGAATGAAAAGAAACATACTGAAACCAGACGGGCCGCCGTTCATCTTCTGGAAATAGAAATATATGTTTATATTGTATGTATATTTATATTTATATATGTGTATACAAGTGTTCACGCCTTTCTTTTTTTTTTTTTTTTTTNTGTGTTTGATGTATATTATTAAGAAAGGAATGCATTTTAAATAGTGATACGATGAGAAATATGTTGTTAAAAAGTAAAGAAAAATTATTAATGTGATGAAAAATATTATTTTATTAAAAAATGTACGGTTAAAAATGAATTTTAAAATAATGTACTTTGAAAGAAAGTGATGGGGCTGGACTCCATCTCTGTATTTCATACTGTGTACGTCTGGTCAAACGAATTTGGGCTGCTTCATGACCCGCTAAGCCTTCCCTATAATAATCCAGCAAGAAATAGGCTCGATCTTGGTAGTGAAGTGGCCCAATTTTACTGGTAAATTGATTAAAACTCGAGGGTCTGACTTGATCATTAATAACCAAGCATGAACCATTTCGGTATGGATTACTAATTTTTCCATCTTTACTTTTTGTATGATCGGAATTTGAGGGAGGGTCCTGACTTGACGATGACAAGACCATCAATATTTCAACTTGAAATTGGTTTGGTCTAGATCATAGGCTGGTTCATCTTTATTGCCTTTTGTGTATTGATCCACACCCAAGGGTCCTGACTTTGCGATGTCCAAGACCTTTAATAGTCTAGCCTAAGTTCAGTCATGTTCGACTCGTGAATTGCCCATTTTTACAATTAAGTTGATCTAAACGTGGGCCCTGAATTGATGATGGCCAGGACAGTTCTAGTCCACCCTGGTATCAGCTCAATCTGGGTCATGAACTTGTCCATCTATACTGGTGGACTAATTCAAACTAGATTGTCCTGACTTGGCAATGGTCTATAATCGTGGCATGGGCAGATTGCAACACCATACAAGCTAAGGCAAGGAAGGTTGTGCCTCCAACACAACATGGGCACAGCCCAACGAGGAAATCTTCTAATAGCTAAATGTGGAAATCAACTGATGATGAACTAGTTTGTGTGATGGTTAAACTTGTCTCATGTACTAACTTTGGAAATAATTGATTGGAACATAGACTGGGCATTTTAACGAAAACGAAACATCTAGATATTTCGAGCATGAGGAATTGGATATATGCATCGAGTAAAATAGAAGATAAAGTTGTTGACATGGCTAAAGACTCCATCATAATCTCCAATTTATCGTATTTGATCAGAGACCAACATACTAAGGCGAAAAGGATAACCGACAAGTTGTTGAGATGGCTAAAGACTCCATCATAATCTCCAATTTATCGTATTTGTTCAGAGACCATGATACTAAGGCGAAAAGTATAACCGACGACGCAGCAAATGATCTACTCGCATAACATAACAAGAACACATGAAATCCACCAATACAAGTTCGTAAGTAATAAATTCTTAAAGACCCAAACCAACTGTCCGACCATCCCTTCGACGCAATCCAGCAGTGTATTGCTTCTCGAGATCCAATTGGAGCTTCTCCACGTCGTGGTTGTCTTGCTTTTGCTCCACTTTTGCATCCCCTTTCACGCCCTACAATTGGATGGTACCAAGGCAACCTCAGACTCTAAAAGTGTGTTAGTATGAACGAACATAAATCCCACTAGTTTGTAGATTTCAGTTACAGTATGTTTGGTAAGGTAAATTGGACAGTACTGAATAATATTTAGAAAGAAAAAGATATTGTCCTACCCTACCTAATACTGTGAACCAAACAAATGTAACTGTATAATAGAGCAGTAGGACAAACAAAAGGGATAGAAATTACCATAAGCTTGTTGAACTTTTCTTGTCGTTCCCGATCACCAAATGTTGCCGTATCCCAATTGTGAACAGACTGTATTGAGCATTGATCAGAATATACAAAAAGAGAGCAAAAACTATGAATATCATAAAAGCATTGCATTGATCAGAAGATAATCTAAATGAAAAAGTTCTTGTTGATTTGGTCCAAGTCTCTTCAGACTTGCATAGAGAGAATGCTTCGGAGCAGGTAGTTTACACTTAAAAGAGCACAATTTATTTTCTGTAAAATACACTGTAGCTAAAATTGATTAGATTTCCTTTACCTACATCCACATAAAGACCAAAATATGGAATATGAATTTAAAAGAGGTCAAATTTGGGAAAAAGGAGGGAATGACAGAAGGATGAGAGGAAACAAGAACAAATAAAAATACCTCTTCCGTTGTTGTGCTTTTCTTATTGCCCCACAACAGCTTCTTCTTTTGATCAGTAGACATGTATCCAGTTCCAACCAAATTCTTATTAACTGCAATTTATTCCAAAGAACTAATCAATTGGAAAAGAACCCTAGTACTATTCAAGGAAATAGGTAAGGGTCCATTTTATTAACATGATTTAATAAATATAAATCATGGATATAACCAATTTTATTTGAATGTCATGAGTTCGAACCATACCCACTAGTGATATTGATATAAATAAATAGAAGTTAAAATGAAAAACCTTTCCCAGAATATTCATCCTACCCACGTACATAATCCTCCAATAAAAAAACCACCGACTAGACTCTCCACGATGGAATGGGGTAGTATGATTTGACCAATAAATATGCAGTTTGAGCCCAAAATTTAAACCACCTCATAAACAGTTCTACATAGAGTGAGTACTGCTTTTAGAATATCATTATTTAATCTAAATGAGAATGATCATTTAGGGAGATTATTCAGAAATTTCCATTAAATTCTGACAATCAGAATTAATTGGAGAAATTATCATGTAAAATAAATTATCCCAGCCTTATAGATAAGCCAGTCCATTTTGTTAAGCGAACTGTAAGAGCATCTTAACTGTCACACTGAAACTCTCCTTCCAAAACATCAAATGAACAAAAACAATAATAAAAAATAAAAATAAAATAAAAAACCCAAAGTACTATACATACAGTAATGCTCTAATTTCAAGAAAAAAAATTAGAACAGCACTAATATCAGGTTTTACTACATTCGAAAAATGAAACAGCAGATGAACTATTAAGACAATGCTAAAAAGAAAAAGTGGCACACATATTCGCATTTAGATATCGAATAACACCTTTGGTGAATCTTTCTATCGCTGTCAGCAGATAACCAAAGGTGTTTAATGTAAGAACTGCTTAAAGATAAAGAATCACTGACTTCAAGGGATCAAGAAAAACAAATACCAAGTCATAGTTAGCAAGCTTATCAGTTAATTGTCTTATTACAGGCAGCAAAAAGTTATTACTACTCATGTCAATAACAAAAGCCAGGTAAGCAGCAGCATATAATTAAATTTTAAAATTCCCACATCGTTGCACATTTTTCACAGAGATATTTACAAATGAAAGATAGAAACAACTAAAATATTAACTATAGACCAAATAAATTGAATCACAGGTGAAAAATGCCACAATTGAGATACCTAGTTCAGCAGCTTTCATAGCAGCTGTTTTTGCAGCATCAATATCAGAATCTGTCACATAGGCCTGCTCTGAGGGAACTCTTCCAGAAGCCACTTGCGCTTCCTTTGAGCTTGAAGACTGACCATCAGCTAAGTTTGCTGATTCAGGAGTTGATTTATCAGACTCCACAAGCAAAAAATAAAAATAAAACTAATAAACTGGATAGAATTATTCTTGGCACTCCAAAATATCCATAATAAGAATGAGATAAGCAATAGCTATAGGACATAATAAAAGTATAAGACAAATCACCTTTTCCAGAACCTGTGCTATTGGAGCTAAATAACTTTGGCTTCTTAGCAATGGACTCCTGATCTTTGCTGGACAAAGCCTTTCTATCTTCAGAGTACTCCTCTGGTTCTTCAGAATGTCGCTCCTTGTACTTATCCCTATCATCAAACCTCTTCTTTTCCTCTATGGTGTACTTCTCACCATCTAGTTCCTTAGTCTCTCTCCTGGAAGCTTCTTTTAGACTATCGTTTCTGTAATCTCCTGAACCCCTCTTCCCATCTCGGCCATCTCTATCCTCTCCATGTCTGTACCTCTCCCCAGACTTACCATCCTCAAAGCTGGTATATCTCCTACCAGATCCAGCTCTGTCAGATGATGAGTCTTTATCTTTATCCCTGCTTCTATGCCCCAAATTGTCAGATTTATCTCGAGAGTATTTGTGAACATCACGTGGATATTCTCTGGACCGATGCTCATAATCCCGACTTGAGTGATTGGAATTATAACAATCACGTGAGTTCCGATCAGAACGAGAGGAGGATTTAGGGTAATCTCTATCATACTCATCCACATGCTTATCTCGTCTCCTGTAATCGTTATGTGTACGATAACTATGGGAATTCCCAGATGACTGTCGATCTGAACGTTTATTTAATTCACCACTGCGACTATACTGACTCCTACTTAAATCCTTATCTAAGTCCCTATGCCCGTCTCTTCTTCTTTTGTCTCCATCAATTTCCTCATCCTTCCTTGATTGGATTGGACTAGAGATGCGCTCACGGCCAGGACTCCCTGGATACACATAAATGAAGCACATACTAGTAAAGGATATCTAATATTAATCGAAGGTATAAAAAGAAGCAGCCACTACATATAAAACTTCATTTGAATTTTTAGAGATGAGTATGAAAAATATTTGAGGAGGCATCGTACATATAATTTTTGCTAGACCAATAAACTTTCAATTATATGGCTAATCCCTCAAAGGCTCTTAATAGAAATCTTCATTACATACAAAGACTAAAAAGAAAGTCAATCAAGTCCAGGGCACATACTATACAAAATAAAAGTTATAAAACATCAAGTGGTATGCACTAATACAGTATAGTTTACAAATTTTAACTTCCTTTTCTGCTTTTATACTATCCAACGACCCAATCCTCCCCATCAAACATATCATTAAACATATGTATCCACAAGCTCAAAATTTTGGTCCTATAATTGGAAACCAGCAGGATTCAAGAAAGAAGGAAAACACCTCTCAGTTTAGACTCAACTGATTCTACCAAGCTGAGGACTTCAGGAGACCCACAGTTCTCACCATCTTAATCTCAAAACCAACTTGATAACCAATTGAAACCAGCAGAATCCATGATCATGAATCATGAGAAAAACATAACTACATAAACGGTCATTCTTTTTCTTCAAACTCTGATTTGAATAAAAATAGATTATTTTAAAAGACTAACCACCGGATGAAGATGAAGACCCATTAAGAGGAGACCGGCGCCTGTACTTCCGGTTACCTGAATCATTAAAAGGCTTCCGAAATTCCGCCTTTGGATCAACAATTTCATGGGTATTTGAATCCATACTTTTTTTCCCTGCAGGAAAAACAAAATCCTAATCATTTCCTATTAAAAAGTCGAATTTCATTTTCCAACAAAATAGAAAAAAAGTGAATAAATATTAGAACCCACATGTAAAATAAGTATAATCTTACATATATATACACGTATAGAACATGCTTATTGAGAGACGAACCTGTAATTCAATATAAGGGCAAACAAATTTGGGATTAGGGTTTCGTCGTTTTGGTGCTTTTGAAGTGAAGCAAAATGAATGAAGTAAAAAGGGAATTTACTAAAACTAGCACCATGACCAAGGAAAGCCAGAAAATGAATAGTGGCTGTATTTTTTTTTTTACTGCTCTAAATTCTAATTATAAAATTTCTAAATTCACTTCCCCGTTTGATCCTAATTAAAATATAAATTTTAATTTAAGTCGAAATCAATAATTAATTTTAAAAACACATTTATGTTATTCACAATTTTTCAGTCGTACATTTTATCAACATTTATCAAAGTCTACTAAAAATTTGATTTTAATCCCGACCAAATAAAAGTTTAATAATTTTGTGTTTACAAAATATGAATAATAGTTTTGTGTATTAAATTATATAATTTTTCAATTTCTTTACTCATTTTTTTTAAATTCTTCGATAGAATACAAGTAAACAAAAATGCACTATTTTAACTTTATTATTAATAATAAAGCGAAATCACAAAATTTCGTTTCCCTTCGTCGTTGACGAATTACATATTACGAAGTATTCACAGTTTCTTAAATAGGTTATCATTATTCTATCATATTTGACATGCTAGACACGATAAAAAATACGGCGATAACTAAATTGAAAGTACGATTTTAACCTTCTATAAACTGCAAGGACCAAAATGAAATTTCATGATTATACAAACTTTAGAAATGTATGACATAATTCAAACTCAAGGGACCATTCTGCAATTTACACCTCTTCATTCGCTTCAAATATATCCAAACGAACCCCTAATAGGGTTTTTAGGGTTTAAGACTCTTCCTTCTTCAGTCAGTCACTCGTACATTTCCAAAAAAATTCACTGTTATTGACATAAATCTCGGAAATTCAGCATGTGGGCACTACGTCGAGTATCCATTCCTATAAAGTAATTTGTTTCTCTAACAATCTTGCACTCACATGCACAAAATAGGTGTTATTTGTATGTATGCGCACTTGTTTTTGTGTATTTTTTTATTGTATTGTTTTTTACTGCATTTTTTTTAATATAATGAAGTGGTTTACTTGGCATCTGACTGCTTTTGCAAATATGCAGTGGGTGTATATGTGTTTAAATATGTTTTACATGAATGTATATATGTACACATTCAGCATTTCTTTATGTTCCGACTTTCCAACTTATTTTATAAAGCTCTGAAATTCAGCACGTGGGCACTGGTCGAGTTTCCATTCCTATCAAGTAATTTGTTTTGCCAACACTCTTCCACGCATGTATACATAGTATATGAATGTAATTGCATATATGTACACGTGTATGCTTTCAGCACAGATTTTTATGCACGTTTATGTGAAGTTCACAGTGAATTTATGGTTTCTTTTGGTCTATCGATTTATATTGAAACGAAGGAAAGTTAAAAAAACACGTGGACGAAAATAAAAATTGTCTTATTTTCTCTGTTTTTCGAACATGGGCATTTCTTCAATGATTGTCTGGTATTGCTGAGTTTCTATAGTTCTATGTGAAATGGTGTGTAAAATTAGAATCTTTGGAATTATTGTCTTCAAATAGTTATTAATATGTTAGTCCAAAATTAGAACCTTTGGAATCATTGTCTTCAAATAGTAATTAATATGTTAGTCCCATCCATCTCAAGTTTTGCAAAAAGTTTGTGTGGAGAATGTAATAAAATTGTTAATTTAGTAGTCTTGTGATCAATTTCTGTCCTCTGGAATTCTGATGTAGACATATTGTTTGCACCCAGGAATCGAGGATTTAGCATATCCTCTCGAATTTGCTGTGCTAAAACAGAAATAGCAAGATGTTACATGGATATTCACAAGGCTGAGTTCATTGAACCTCGAGAAATACCAGCTGATGGTTTGCATTCACTTAAAAGATTCTATGACAAATCATCCAATGTTCGGAAATTATCCATCGAAGATCGTGGTTATTCTTCACAAGCTAACTCAAATAGTGGAGAGGAAGATGATGACTTGGAGGATGGTTTCTCTGAACTTGAAGGTCATCCAACTGCTTCTGGTGCTGCTCTAGAAGATAATGCTGAAGATGAGAACGATGATGAACTAATTTCTGGGCCGGAGCTATCTGAAGAGGAGTCTTCTGATGATGACATTCCAGTAACCGGAGATGTGGTGGAGGTATTAGATAATGACACCGATGTTGCAGAGAAGGTCTCTTCAAGAAAGATGGGTACTTCAGCATTGGCCCGTGCTATCTTAGGTGCTCCAGCTTCTTCTTCTCTTGGAAAGTTTTTGGATAAATGGGTTGCAGAAGGTAATGAAGTTACCCGGTTAGAAGTGTTGTTAGCCATGCTTACTCTGCGGAAGCGGCGTTTGTACGGCAAGGCCTTGCAGGTGATTCGATTTAGTCTTCAATTGCACATCATTTATTCTGTTCAATTGCATATCATTTAGTCTTCAAAGTCATTTTTTTTTTCTTTTTTCAACCTTCTTTTCTTTTCTCTTTTTGCTTATTCTCCCTTCACAGTTGCGCTCCCTGTTTGTTGAAACAAATGGAGAGAACTTTTAAATGGATTTAGTCATCATGATACTATATTGTTAGGCATTTTGTACTCTGTTCTGATGTTTGTATTCTGGATAGCAGTTGGCTTGCTTAGAATAATTCCTGATTTGCTTGTTCCATGGAGCACTTCCTGTTCTGAAATATGCTTTAATTATTTTAGCATCTCCAAGAAAAAAAAATTGACAACTAGGTTTTAATATTTTTGTGGCTTTGAAGTTGTGAAATATTCCCATGACTTTCTTTAGGTCATTTTATGCTTTATCATCTTTCTTAACCAATTGATTTTCTGAAGAATTAAGGTCTAGGTAAACCTAAATCTTATTTATCTTTATCTTATTTTTTATGACTTCTATGTTGGAGTAACTAGAATATATGGTTACCGCATATGCGTTTATTGTATATGCACTTACCGTATATGCATACGACATAGCATATATTCATACAACTTACCGTATATGCACACACCTTATCGTATATACATATAAATTACCGTATATGCTTCTACAGTATATGCGCTTACCGTATATGCATAAATCTATCGCATGANTAGTATGCACTCATTGTAAAAATAAATTACTTTTATGTTATGTTTGCAATTTTTGGAATTGCTTTCTACTTCATATTGTTGCTGTTTCTTAAATTGGTAATTTACATATTTCTGTTAACTTGATTCTTAGTTGCATGTTATTATGTCTTTAAAGTTGGAATTATAAGAGACTCACCAGCTTTATGGAACCTAGTGAATATATACACACACTATTATAGCAACGTGCCATTAGGTTGGATCATGACTATGTCATTAATTGGCTGATACAAACTTAGACAATCAGTTTCAAACTCTATGAAGTCTTGCGCCCCCCCCCCCCCCCCCCCCCCCCCCCCCCCCCCCACCCCCCCCCCCCCC